TCTTCATTACCAACAAGTTAAAGCCAAACATCAACGACCTGCAGGTTTACTGCAACCCTTACCGATACCAGAGTGGAAATGGAAACATATTACCATAGATTTTATTGTTGGTTTACCTCGCTCTAGTAAATGTATGGATTCAATTTGGATTATCGTTGATAGATTAACTAAATCTACTCATTTCTTTCCTGTCAAAATAATTTATAATGCGGACAAATTGGCTATACTCTATATTGATGAAATTGTGAGACTGCATGGAGTGCCTGTGTCCATTGTTTCTAATAAGGACTTAAAGTTTACATCGAGATTCTAGCAAAGCTTACAAACTGCATTGGGTACTGAACTGAGACTGAGTAGTGCATACCATTCTCAGATAGACGGTCAGTCAGAAAAGACCATCCAGACTCTGAAAGATTTATTAAGAATGTGTGTTCTTGATTTTCAAGGAAATTGGGAAAGTCATCTACCGTTAGCTGAATTTGCCTACAACGACAGCTTCCATTCAAGTATTGGAATGGCGCCTTTCGAGGCATTGTATGGCAGGAAATGTCGATCTCCGATCTGCTGGGCAAAAGTTGGAGATGGGCCTTTGCTTGGGCCCGAGATTGTGTACGAAACTACAGAAAAAGTAAAACTGATCCAACAGAGATTGAAAACCGCACAGAGCCGACAGAAAAGTTATGCGGATGTCCGAAGGCGAGACAGAGAATATGAAGTAGGTATAGGGCTGAGCAAGGAATCCGTGAAATCCGTAATCCGATCCAGTCCAGTCCAATCCGATAGGTTTGGATTGGTTTTTTGAATCCGTGGTTCGGTTCCGGATTGAATAATTAAAAATCCGTAGTTCACGGATTGGTTCCGGATTGAATCCCACGGTTCCGGATTGGAACCGATCCGGACCGTATACAAATAGTCTATATTTTTATTATACATCCTCCCCCATAGTATCTTTTCTTATTCTATGTAAAATCTAAACTCAAACCTAAAATCGTATAATATCTTCTTTTATTACTTTTGTTTGTTAGTTTTAAGTTTTAATTTGCAATGGTCTAAATACTTATGGTGAAACCAGTTTTCTTATGGTTGTTTAAATTCTAGAACAGTATGTCGTTATTATAGAAAAACATGTTGCTATTATGGAACTAATATAGCGCTATGTTTATATTTTTATGAAATTCAAGTGTTATATATATATTTTTGTTATTTAATTATGTGAATCCGTGGTCCTAAACCGATCCAATCCGTATTTAAATGGATTGGTTCGGATTGGTTCCATGATTTAAACGGATTGGATTGGTTCCAATTTTTTAGGAACCGTAAATAACGGATTGGTCCTGGTTTTATCCCAATCCGGTCCAATCCGGACCATGCTCACCCCTAAGTAGGTAATCACGTGTTTGTACAAGTGACACTGTTGAAGGGCCAGACTCGTTTTGGGGTTAAAGGCAAGTTAGCGGCGAGATATGTCGGACCATACGAGATTATTGAGAAAATCAATCCGGTGGCGTATCAAGTAACGCTTCCTCCTGAAATTGAGCATATGCATAACGTGTTCCATATTTCAATGTTGAGGGGATACCTTCGGGATCCCTTCCACGTGATTGAGCCTACCCGTGTAGTGCTAAGTGATGACTACACTTATGAAGAGCGGCCCATTTAGATTGTGAACAGACGGATCAAAAAGTTGAGAAGCAAAAAGATTCCGTTAGTGAAAGTTGACTGGCAAAACCATGGTGGCGTCTATGCCACTTGGGAAAAGGAAGATGACATGATGAAGAGATATCCTGGACTATTCCCACTGAATCCTGTTTTCTTCCAGAATGAAAGTAATTCGAGTTTGGAGGACCAAACTCTTTATAAGGAGGGGAGACTGTGACAACCCTCACCATTGTTCACTAATTAACCACTGATTACTACTAAACTGAGACTAACCATGTTAATTGACTGACTGACTGAAATCCTGAACTGATTGATTGTCTATATCTGTTTAAGTGCATCTCTATCTGAAATTGATTAGTGATATGTGTTAATCATAATTTATGTGATTTTTTTGGCATATTTATTTGAAATGGGATTTGGTATAATTAAATTAGAATAAATATTGATAAATTGCACTAATTGTCTTAATTCACAACTTTGCCACTTAGTGGCCCATTACATGGAACATTTTTGAGCTCTCCTCATTAGACACAACACATTTCATCAGCTTTCTCCTTGCTATAGTCGACTAGAGAGAGTGAGAGGAATAGAGTGATTTTAACAATTTTAGCTTGGTGATTTGAGGAAATTGAAGGTTGATTTCATGTTTGGACTCCTACACCTAGAATTAGAGACTTAAGGTAGAGATTATACCTTATTGTTTATATATTCAAGTTATATGTTGCATGGTTTATGGAAGTCTAGAGATTAAGCTCATGAATTAGCTTAATTTGTTGAATCAAAGCTTAATCTTTGCATGCATTCTTGCATTTTGAAGTTGTTCTTCACAAATTTGCCACATGCATGTTCATATTTTGAGTATAGATCATGATTTTACCATGTTTTTGGAAGAATTAGCTCATTAGAGCATGTAATTGAAGCTTTGATCTTGGTTAAATACTTGCATGTCACATTAAAGTTATGTGTCTTGAAATTTGGTTCAAAATTGTGTTTAATTGAACTACCCTTGGGTTTTGATTTCTCAAATTGACCTTTGAAACATGTTATATTTTGAGTTTTGAAGAGTTTTCCAGAAAATTGGCCCAAGAGGATCGAATTTGGTGTTTTAAAACTTGGTTTTGAGCTTAAGGTTCGAATCTGGAATTTCCAGGATTTGGACTTCTGCTCGAGCGAGGTTACTGGCGCTCGAGCGGGAAAATCGTGTTCCCAGCACTTTCATCTATTTTATAGTCCGCTTGAGCGGGGTATTTGACGCTCGAGCGAGGACTTGTGTCACACACTCGAGCGGGTATCGAGCGTCCATCGAGCGTGATTTTCACCAATCCAGTACTTTTGGCATGTGTTACAGTTCGCTCGAGCGGGGTAACTCGCGTTCGAGTGTAAAATTTTGTTTGCATGTCCGCTCGAGCAGGGAAACCCACGCTCGAGCGGGACCTCTATTTTCTGAAAATCTTGAAAATATTTTCTAAGTACATCTTTGCATCCTCATTCCATTCTAGACATTCTTAAGCCTAGTTTAAGGCATCTTAATGAGGATATTAATGTAGAACCACACCGAGTCAAGATAGGGATTAAGTTACTATTTTCCCAGCTGTGTAGCTTAGTGTGTGTTCATTCTGTAACTGTGTAGGATTGACATCCGGAGACGCGTACTAGCTTATCTGTAGCCCAGAACTCTGTAAGTAACAATGTTGTAAAGATATGTTCGAAAATGAAAATTTTCTGAATGATCAACGTGAACTGCTTTCTGAACTATTTACTGTTAACTGAATAAATGTTTGTCTTCTATTCTGAACTATATTGTGGCATCATTAGCAACTACTGTTATTGTTACTGCTATTGTTACAGAGATCTCTGTCAGTTCCTATTTTGGAACTTTTGTTTACTGTTATGATGGCCATCATTGACTGTTCAGTCTTTCAAGACCTACTATTTACTATACTATTCTGCTAATGGATGTACCACATATGACTGTTATGACTGAATGACTGATACACTAAATCAATTGACTGTTTTCAATACTGAAAGGACATTCATTCTTAACCTCTTTACGCATTATGTTATTCACTGGGCTTTAGCTCATTGTTTTATATATATATGTAGGTGTTCAGGCACCAGATCGGAGCTAGTAGCATGGGTTAGACTCCCTTTTGTCAAGGCCAACTATTGTGCCTCACTACGAGGTCTCGAGCTTGTCAAGCTAGGGCTTTTGGGGCGTTTTAGTTTTTTCCTTCCTTGGTTATGTTCTGCACAGACTAAATGTTTTTGTACTGTACTGTTTTAAATAGGGATTAAGTCCCTGTCCTGAATGATTGTATATATTGTACATATATGTATAGACTGTTCTGTTATGAATGTGTATATATATGAAAAGTCTTTTTGCATACAGACTGTCACAGCTCATTGGACATTGTCTATTTACTGTATTGGCTTCCGCCAGCCCCTATACTCTGTATTACTGTATTATTGTTAAGCAGACCTTCGGTAACCTCGGATTATTGGTCGGCTACGGTACTAAACCCATAGGGGCTGGTTTGAGTCGTGACAGAAAGAGATGAGGGTTTTTTGGGTCTGAGTCTAGGGTTGATGATTATGAGAGTTGGGCATCGAAGAAGAGCTTTGTTCTTTCGGAGGAGAGTCAAATTACTCTGATATGATATATGGGTGTCGATCTAGTAACCTTAGATATCAAAAAATAATATTGTGGATCTTTTTTATTACTAAAAATAAGAAAAGAACCTTAGACTAATTTTTTCTAATTTTTTTTGTTAACTGACTTAATGGTTAACTAACGGTAGAATTAAATTATAATGAAAGTTTAAACTTTAGAAAATAAAATGTAATTTTTAAAATATAAAAGGCTACTTAAAGAGAAAATTTAAAGATGTTGCCAATATTTAGTAACATATATTACACATTTAAAAATAAAATAAAATAGGGTCAATTACACTTACATCCTCTGAAGTTTGGGTTTAATACATATCATCTCGTAACGTTTGGAAAATGACACTAGTCCCCCTGTCATTGTAATTATTTAGACGGAATGAAAATATTGAACTCATACACTCCCTCTTTTCATGCTTTACTTTACTTCTTTTGTTTTTTTTTTTCCCCATTTTCCTTTACTGTACTTTTTTTTTTCAATGTAATTTTCTCTATTTTTCTACTAAGAGTTGTTATATTTTATATAAGTAGGGGATTTATGAAATGAGATTATTAACTACAAGGGTGAGAATATAATTTCCGGAACGTCAAGGGTAGAATGTAATTGTACCAAACCCGATGGGGGTCAGTGTAATTTACCCAATAAAATTTGAGCCTATATATATTACACTTTCGTCTATCTCGCTCCCTCTCCCTCTCCCTCTCCTCTGCTATTCCATCTCTTCCCCTGCACCTCTCGCTCTCCTCTATGTCTCTACTGAGCTCATTCGTCTCTCTTCCTCTGGCTCGACTGACTGCAGGGTTCTAAGTAGCTGCTCGGTTTAAAACCCTAATCTAACCCAGTGATTGGTTTCTGAGAAAACAAAGGAAATTATTTTTTTTGAAGAGCAATCAACAAGGTATGCCTCTCTCTGATTATTTCTGAAACCCTCAACCTTCTTCTAAAACTCTCTTCTTCCCCATTTTTTACTTTCTTTGGATATTTCTGAAATCCTCCCTCTTCTAAAACTCTCTGATTTTTACCCTATTTTCTGTGTCTAGTGTTCCATCTGAATTTCTATTCCAGTCTCTCTTGGCTCACACTGATTTGAAATTTGTACTGAAGCAAGGCTGGTAAGGATTTTGTTCTATTTTGCTATTTATATATCTCGGTTGACATTCTTAATGAAATAATCCATTTTTACGTTAATTAATATAGTATTTTGTAACCATATTGTTGCCTCCACGACTTGTTCTTGAGTTGTTGGAAAATATTTCATGAGAAATTTTGGCATTAAAATTATAGCGCTGAAATTATGTTATTTGAATTTTGATTGCATCTAAGTTGTTTGTAAAAATGCCTAGTTCGCTAGCAATTTAAACAAAAGTATTTTGGAACTATATTTTCATTGCATTTAGATGTTGAAAACTTGTGATTGACTTAACATGTTCTCCGAAGATTTATCCCAAAATATATTTAGTGATATTCACATGAAGCAACTACACCTTGTGGTTGGGACCTCCCAATTTGTAAGTTAGGGCAAATAGGTATTCCAAGTGTTTTTGGTAATGTTTAGTACTTGTTGTTCTAGTTGAATTAAATAGCCATCTCAAGTAAATCATTTGTTTGATTGGTTTTTAAAAACACACACACACACATATATATATATATATATAAGCAAACTTAGTTCACATACAATAGAAGTACTTCCAAAAATGCTAATCGAATAGTGCTTGAACTTCACTTGTATCCTTGTTTAAGCATGAGTAGTTGACAAGATAATGGGGGAGAGACTCCAGCCAACAAAAAAGTATGAAAAGTTAAAAAGAATTGAAGTATATGATTTTAATTTTAGCTAAAAAGCAGTTGACATGAACCTTATGTTTAATAAAATGAATTTCCTCTATTATACAATTTTAATTTTAATTTTAATTTTTCAATTCACATGAAGCTTATGTTTAATAAAATGAATTTCCTCCGCATACTTTTTTCATAGTATATTGATGCTAAGATAATCCATGAATTGCTGTCTTCTCTCTAAGCGTGGAGGCTTTCCTACCAACCATGAAAGATTGGTGTGAAACTTTAGGATTGAAGGAGTGAAAAGTATGGGAAAGGGAAAATTTATTTATTTATTTTTTTCCTTGTTTGTTTAGCATGGTAAATGATAATGTTGGAAAATGTAAGATTGTTAAATTTTTGTGTACAACCCATAGCAACATGGTAAGTTGTTTTTTAATTTCTTGCAAAATATACATAAATGTTTCTTGCAAAAAATAAAGAAATTTTTTTTTCACTATTTTGTCACTTTTGATTTACGAGTCTTGTTATCATGTGTACCTTTCAAAGGGTGCACATGATGTGCACCTTATATCTTAACCATTGAATCTTCATGAACTAATCTGATCCATTGAATAATTTAATGGAAAAAACTTGAAACCTTCTCAACTAGTTGTTGTCCTGACTGAAGAGCTCCCCCCCCCCTCTCTCTCTATTTGTTTTTCTCTTTCTTGCTTTCTCCCCTCTAAGAAAGCCCTAACGTTTTCTCCCAACGCGACTCCGACAATTTTCTCTCCCTCCTATGACGCTACTCAAAGACCTTCCCACAAAGTGGAAACTCTTCCATCTTCGTTTCTACAACTACATCTGAACATTTTGCCTCAAAAGTGGAAACTCTGGGTGTCTCTCTCTCTCCAACTCCCCTCCATCCTGAACTCTTCCTTTCCCATTTTGTGAGACCCTATACCAAAATCCCCTTTTGTTAACCCTATGTATTTATATATAAATATGTACGTATATATAATGTAGCCCACCAATTTGTCTCTATTTTACTCTCATTTTCCACATGCATTCTTCTCTCTACCCCTTCTACCTCATGACAGTGAGTTGGACATTTCCTCCACTTTTCTGTCTCTCTTTCTCTCTCACTCTTGCTTTCCCTTGTTAATGTCTAATCACTTTAACAAGGCTAAGAACAAGACCATTGCAACATATTTGTAACTTGCTAGTTACCAAACTGTAGCTTTTTGACTCTAACAATCACCTTAGTTAATGCATTGGAGATGCTCTTACACGTAAAAATAGAACATTTTCCTAATAGGAATTAATACCGCATAATAGGGGGAAAAATAATAAATAAATAAATAAATAAAATTAAAAAAAGCTCAAAACTCTATAAAACACAATATACACCAAATGTTCATTTTTGCATCAATATTACTAAATCTAGAAATTACAAGGGCACAATATTTTATCTTCATAGCTAATTCTACTACAAGATAATATTATTAATAATTCATTGGAAACCTAAATTATTATTTTGAGAGAGAGAGAGAGAGATGTTGAAATAAAGAATGGTAGAACTGAAAGATGAAATAGAAATCCAAGATAATAATTCAACGAATAAGGGTTGGGTGATAACAGGAGCAGGAGGAAGACATCTCTGGTTTTGCTCAATCCTCTCTGGCTTCCATTATTTGTGTATACATAATTGTGTTTGTATGTATATTGCATAAATATATATATATATATATAGAGAGAGAGAGAGAGAGAGAGAGAGAACAATGGTAGAGCAATTGAACAATACTTTCAACCACATCACAACATTTCTTTCTCAATTACTAGCCTTGGTACATGTGTGTTGCACATGATACGAGACGACAAAGATAGACCAAATATGAGAGATCTCACATCTGGTTGGCCACCTTCAATGTTGCCTTCTTCCATGCCACCATCATTGTATTGCTATGTAGAGGGATATCAGACTCCACCATCGTTAGTTGTTCATCAATTGAGCAACAGATCGAGCACTAAGAGCCAGAATTTGTCAATCGTGAGTACTAAGTAGGTCTGTGACTCCATGAATACCAGTGAGACGGTAAGGGTGGTTTTAGAGGTGAGATGGTAAGGGTCGTTTCGGAGGCGAGATGGTGAGGGGGTTTCACTGGAGCTTGTGAGAGATCGAAAGAGAAAGATCTGGGAGGTGAGAGATGAGAGAGACGAAGATGAAGAGAACACGTTTGATTGAGAGATGAGAGAGAAATGTAATTCTCTAGATTTCTCTTTGAAGGGGAGAGGGGGTATGTTGATAACTCTAATCTCTCAATGTACAATATAATCACGACACTTGCTCATCTTATTTTTATACTTATATACGCAGTCGGGTTGGTTTCATTCAGTGGGCATAACATAAACTTGTCACCGGCCGTAAATCTAAAAAAAATAACTTGCAGTTGACTGTTGCTAGTTTTGAAATCAACGGTTCAACATAGGGTTCGGATGGGTGGGTTGGGTAGACCTAGGGATGGTGAAAATTACCCTTCCTAAGGATGGTTGAGGACTTGAGGCCTAGAGTCTCAAATGCCATATCAATGTGATTAACAAAAGACATTCCAAAAAAGCAATCCACCTACTTTAACCCAAAAAACTAGACTATCCAACTTATTCCAAACCAATCTAAGAGCAACTCCAGTGAGTTGATATAATGGATTTATTTATCAAAAAAAAAAAAAAAACCATCTCTAGAAGGAAGGCAAATCCGAATTGCGTTCGTATATTGATACTTCTTGGATAGTTACGGATACGTATCGGATAATTCTAAAAAATATGTGATATTTCATAATTAATTTTGAAATATCAGATATTCTTAAGTCACGTGTCAGAATTTCGAAAAATCTCGCTATGAGAATCTAGGTTCACTAAGTTGCATCATACATGCCTAATAGCAAAAAGGGCTGCTAAACGTGTGTCTTGATTTAAGCATCATATATTTTAATGACGAAATATTTCATCTCTAAAAATAATTGCAATCATATAACACGACCATAAAAGAAATATACTCAATGACAAACCTTGGCTAAAATATTGTATTCAATTCAATTTTGAATGGCAAACACATTCTTGAACTTGTTTTTTAATGGACAACACAACAATGCGAAACAAAAATAACTCATCCCTATTCTTTACTGGGAAAGTCATGTATATCTTCAGTGGAGAAGCACTAACATACACTATCAAAACTTACATTTTTTAAAACCCTAACATGCAAAATTTGAAAACCCCAAACCAAAGCCCTAAATTTTGAATTTAAAATTTAACTTGTCAATCAAAATCGTAAATTTTCAATCTAAAATCTTACTTATCAACATGCTTTCGTTCTTTCAATTGGGAGTTAGAAGCACAAACCTGGTTCAATCTATGTCTAAGGATGGAGGTTTTTCTAAATTTGTTTACACGTATTTTCTATCTCTCTCTCTCTGTCTCTCTCTCCGTGTTGTTCCTATTTCGTCTCCTCGGAGTATTGTGTTGCTGGAGGAGGTTGGTTGTTTTTCCCCCTTCACGTTAACCCTCTTCTTTTTCTCTACATTGTTATCTTCTTTACTTCTATTCTCTACGTTGCTATCTTCTTCTTCAAATGGCTGTGATGTTGCTACCCTCTTCTTCTATTCTCTTCACATTGCAGCCTTCTTCTTCTTATGCTTATTCTTCTTCCATCCTCTTATGATTATTCTTCGGTCTCCTTCTCTTTATCATCTTTCTTTGGACATATCTGTTTTTTTTCCCCCATTCTTATTCTTCTTCAACCTTCTCTTCTTATTCATGTTTTATGTTAAACTTTGAAATAGTGTTCATTTGTGTATGTATAGTAGTGTTTGTTGGTATTTATAAACCAAACCAAACCAAACCAAACCAAGCCAAGCGTTAAGTCCCATCAAATGAGGTCGGCTGCATGAATCCTTCTTCTCCACTTGACTCTATCTCATTTAATCAATTCAAAGTAGGATTCATTTTCATAAGGGATCTAAGCGGCTTTTTACGTGCTAGCTATCGGCTACCTAACACACAACCCTCCTCCTTTACTCAAGCTTGGGACCGGCGGAGTTATTAGTTGTTTGTTAGTATTTATATTTTTAAATATTTAATATTTCATTTCGCTTATGTTGAACCTTAAATTATTTGCTTATATTAAATTGTATTTTTTTTGACGTACAAGGTGTGCCTCACTTCGGTGAAGCTTGCGCTTTGCACATAGGCCCCAAGAGACCTTGGCACCTCGGTGCGCCTATCACCTTTAATAACACTGGTATTTTCTATTGATACTTTATACATTGTTATTGTGTAATGCCCCTTTATATCTTTTGAGATGAAATTAGTTGAAACATCATATTTTATAGGAATTTTCCATTAGATGTTCTCGTTGTTTTTTCATATTTCATGTAAGCATTGTGTTGAGCACTGGTGCTCTCATTTTCACTTTGTCACTGCTCTATGTTTGTACTCATGATGATGCATATACAACTGTTCGTTAATGCTGACGTTTACCAGTGGTTCTGTTTTTTGGGTTTTTTTTTTTGGTCCTCTAATTATGCAGAGTTTGGCATATACTTATGAATGGCTTGGAGTGAGGTTGGGAGAAAGGTGCGTCTTTGGTATCAGTTTAAGATGCATATGAATATCCATGTGATTACATTTTACTTCTATGATCTTTGTCAGCTGACCTTGAAATTCTCAACATTTTCAAATTTTGTATGGTGATTCCAAATTAATTGAGTTTTTAAAATATTCAGAGAAAAATATTTTCTTTTCCATTCGTAAGTTGGTTTATTCTTGTGAGTTTTACCTGCCAACTTATGTCACTTGAGCTTTTCATGGTACTGTCATATTATCCTATTATCCTTTTTAATGGTTTTAATTCTACTAGATCACTCTGTCCCTGCATCTTATTTAAAAGACGTTGTATTTAAGGGTTGTTTGGGATGACCTAAATAAGTGCACTTTTTGTCTTTTTACGAAAAGATGTGCAGAAAAGTAGAGAGGTGATGTGATGGAAAAAAGATAAAAAGATAAAAAGATGGATTATTTTTGGGTTGCGAAACTTGGCCTTAGTTGCATACCACGGGTATCATCCATGTGTTTGGTCACTGGTTTGATGAGTATCATCCACACTGTTCTTGGAGACCTTTAGTTCACTGACATAATGGGAATTGCTCTTGGTTTCACTTTGCACATGCTTGGTGTTGAATTTTTGAACATAGTACGTTAGTGTATTGATGAGTTGGCTGTACATAGGTAATTCTCAGGTGTTCTTCTCCTGTCTCCTTTCCTTGGGTGGTTCGAGGGATTATGAATAATTGGTAGTACTTGGCATTCTATCCTTTAGTTTATTTTCTCTGTTGTTTTCTGCTTCTGTTTTATCATGCCTGTCCAAAAGGAAAATGAAAAATATGGTGCAATTGTTGAGTTTAATGATGTTAGGATTATGAACTCAGACTTCCTCTGACATTGCCTGTAGATTTAATTATGATGGTTTTTGTCATCTCCCTAAACGAACGGTCTGCATTCACATTGACGTCACTGTCTCTCTTTGAACCTCTTTGTAGTTTGTCATAATAAAAAAGTGAAACCAAGTTCCATGATGTATCTGGTAAATATTTCTTCTCATATTACTTTCGAAATTAATCTTAGATCTTTGCCACAGGGAATTTGTTCTAGCCTCACAAAAGCCTTGACTTCAACAACGTTCAGAGATGCACTGGTGTCAAAATCTTCAAACACCGTTGAAGGAAAGGTGAAGGCATTTTCTGCTTCAGTCAGATGCATACCAGGTAAATGGGAATGCATATTGCATCTTTTTGATTCGTGTTCAGTATTTGTTTGGTTCTGCTTTTGTTACGGACTGGACTTGTATGTTTTGCAGCTTTTTATTTCAAAATTTCAACTGTAGTCCGTTCCTCTGTTCTGCATTTTCTCGTGGTTTAAAACAATGAATCAAAAAAATGTTGTCCATTGGTTTTATTACTAGGCAACACAAATTTCTTTCTAGCACTCACAATCTCTAAAAGAGAAAAATAGAGAGTTCTCAGGAAGGTTTCAAGTATACTTTTTGTTATTGATTCCCCTAAAATTTTGTACTGCAGAATTTTCTATCAGCCGAGTGTTATGGGGTGCTGACAATTGCAAATTTTTGACCAAGCGGCCCTTAATACGGTACATTGACATCTTTTTTTTTTATTGTTTCCCCCACCCCAATCCCAATGTCTATTTGGTTTAGACTAATAGCTGCCCCGTTTATTCAACTTTCTGTACTATAGTCCTGTCCACTTGTACTTCTCCTGAAATGTTCAGCTGTTGCGATGAAGTAGTTTGCTCTGGTTGACTGTTTAGCCTAATTGTAAATTTTCTGTATCTCTGTTGGAAAAAAGGTGCAACGCAGATTGTTTATCTCCTAGGGGGTAACGTTTAGGTCTCAACACATGAGACACAAGCTTTTTTGATTTTTGAATTTATGTGTAAGACATGTAAAAAAGTTGTCAAATTAAGTGTGAGAGCATGTAAACTGCAATCTGTTATTTGTCTTTAATTTTTGAATTGTTGATGATATTTTTCCCCTTCATTTTCCAATTTGGCCTTCCTGAGATAATTAATTAAAATTTGAACATGGATGATTTTATTAAAATTTGATGATTTTATTGTAGCTTTTATTGTTTAACCATGGATGATTTTTTAAGTGACATGATTAGCTGGAAAAATAAACTAATGTGTATTCCTCATAAGTCTAGGGTGTAAGTGCATTTTCGTGTTTAGAGCTATGCCTTACCTCCCTTGGGATATGACATGTGCAATCCTTCTTTCTCTGAGCACCATTTGTGCAATTTGAAGTGATTTTGGTCCTTGTGTGAAAATATTATCTCGGTCCAAGATTTTTTACAGAATTACCCTCATACCCCCCCTCCCATGTAGAGGGGATAAATGAAGAGAACTTATTTAAAAATAACTGTCTCCTCTTCGATTGTATGATTTGCTATTCGTGGAGATGGAAGAAGTGAACGACCTTTAGCGACCATCACAATGTTACTTCATGAGCACAATGATTTGTAAGGAAAAGTAGAAATAAATTTGGTAAAATTTTTCAATAATAGCAGCACTGAAAGACGCGTTTTTTTTTTTTTTTTTGGTGTGAGATTTTTTTCCTGTGTTTTCATGGACAAGTTAAGGATGCTAGACAATTCTTTTCTTGCCCTTTTTCTTCTTTTCTCTTCTTTGACTAACTTTTTTTTCTGTGGCACTGAACTACAATGCTGCCACAGAGAGATTTTACCATTTAAGCTAAATGGTACCTTCTCTAACTTCTTATCTCTTGCTACATCCTGTTGTCTGTATTGACAGGTTGCCACATAATTTGATTACCCTCTGGGCAATTCCTGATCTGTCATGTGCTTTTGTTTTGCTGAGTTAACTATGTTTGACATGCTTTTATCTGGTCTTTTAAACATGCTAAATAAGATATAAAAATAAGAATTTCCTTGGATGCATGATATCTTCATCACATATATTGAGATTGGATCTATGCATCGATTTCTTAATAGTTACTTTTCCAGCTGTTAGGGTCTTAGAATTGGATATGAATAATTCTATGGACACTAACACACTCACTAAAAATCTTACTAAAAGTGTAAGTGGCCAAATATGATTGGTGGTCAAAAAAGCTATGATACTTGATATTTAGACACGTGCTTTTAGTAAGAGTTTTAGTGCATGCAGAATTGCTCATTGGATATTCATCTACTGGTTATTGTTGCTTTCTCTAGTGTTAATGTTAAAGGTAAGCCAATGTTGCCTCTCATTTCTGCTTCGCTTATTAAGGTATAGTGGCACAGTAAATATGATAAGTTGAAATAGTTGGTGATAGACGCTTCAAAAGTCTTTCTGATCATATGCATACTGTTTGAGGAATGATCTATATTTATAATTCCTTGAGTACAAGTCAGTCAGACTTTTTGGTTTGCGTTTTGCAAACATTTATCTTTATTTGGGTAATTACTGGTATTTGCCCGAAAAAATACCAGGTTAGGTGTGGTTTCAGTCAACTCAGTAATAATGAGTTTTCATTTGGGCAAACACTTGTGAAAGTCGACTTTGGATTGAAATATTCTTGGGATTTCGTTCATCCACTAGCTGATAAATCTTTTTAGTTTGTACACAAAATGATAAGTTGGTTTAGTTGATCTCCTTTGTGTTTGACGCAGTTTAGAAGTTGGTGTTTGGATGTGTTTTCATTCTGGATGTGTTTTCATTCATTTGCTTCCATGCCTATTCTTACATAGATTACATTAAATCCTCAGTGGGTCCTTAGATTGATTTAGTTAGCTAAGGGTTAAGGTGGAAGAATTTGTACTGAGGTGTTGACAGAATTTATACCATTTCTCAAGTGTAATGGGTTGGTGTAACACATGAAAAACTCCTGTCAAATAATGACTTCTGTTTCGATTGTGGGAAATAACTTGATACTCTTGTAGTCGTCTGTGTGATCTTTTAAGCCAGAATCTGGAATATAGTCACAATGTTGGACAGCTTTGAATGCTTTCAGCACCATTAAAGACACATCTGAATGCTGGGTTTAAATATTATTATTGTTTTCATCTGCATAGGTATTTTCATGCGAGTGCGGAACTGTCGGCTAGAAGAAATGATGAGCCACTTGGTTTGAAGACTCCCAGTAAAGGGAAGTTCGTGAAAAGAAGCAATAAGACTCAGCCACCTGTTGATACTCCATATGTTCCCCCTAAATTAAAAAGAACTGCGAAATCTATGCCTGATAGGAAAATCGACATATTTGAAGGCATGACTATTGTAGAGCTTGCGAAGCGAACCGGTGAATCAATTTCCACCTTGCAGGATATTCTTATAAATGTTGGGGAGAAGCTTGATTCAGAGTTTGACCCTCTCAGCATAGACATTGCAGAGCTGATTGCAATGGTATTTCTCCTTTGTTGTGGAAAACAAATAATGAGCTCTCGGTGAAATTAAAAATGGTTGAACATCAGGATGTTCTGTAATTTATTAATTGTAGTATATAATTCACAATAGACTGTCTGGAGATGGTATTCAGTTCATGTGCTTTTAGTATTGTAGTGTGCATGTAGACTGATTCCAAGTTTGATATTTTAACGATGAAGGTAAGATCAATCTGCATCGAGCATCTACATCTATCTGCCAGGAAAGTATTTTATAAAAATATGTAATTGAAATAGTCAGATTAAAGATGTACATTCTTGGGTCTTAATGTACTCATTTTTGCTACTCATTTAACCATTTACATTACTCACTCTACCATGTTTAAAACGTGCCCACCTAAAGTGTATCACTATCATTCATTTCCCTTAGTCTGAATTTTACACACGCATGCACACACACACATGCACAAAGATAGGTTTTTGTTCACCACATAGCAAGCAGCATATGATAGATATTTCTATGGAAGCCATAGGGCTAATTTGGGTTTCATTCATCTTTTCAGGAAGTTGGGGTCAATGTTAGGAGGCTGCACTCAAATGAAGGTGCTGAAGTTCTACCACGGCCTGCAGTTGTAACAGTCATGGGACATGTTGACCATGGTAAAACCTCTCTCTTAGATGCTTTACGCCAAACATCAGTGGCAGCCAAAGAAGCCGGAGGCATAACTCAGCATCTTGGTGCATTTGTTGTCAGCATGCCGTCAGGTGCATCAATCACATTCCTCGACACTCCTGGTCATGCTGCCTTTAGTGCAATGAGAAGAAGAGGTGCGGCAGTGACAGATATAGTTGTGCTCGTGGTGGCTGCTGATGATGGGGTGATGCCGCAAACTCTCGAAGCCATGTCCCATGCAAAAGCAGCCGATGTGCCAATTGTTGTTGCTATTAATAAATGTGATAAACCAGCTGCGGACCCAGAAAGAGTAAGAGTGCAGCTTGCTTCAGAGGGTTTGCCACTGGAGGAGATGGGTGGGGATGTTCAGGTTGTTGAAGTGTCTGCAGTAAATAAAGTCGGACTGGATAAGTTAGAGGAGTCTTTGCTACTCCAAGCTGAGTTGATGGATCTAAAAGCACGTATCGACGGACCTGCCCAAGCTTATGTGGTTGAGGCAAGACTAGACAGGGGGCGTGGACCTTTGGCTACTGCAATAGTGAAGGCAGGGACTTTAGTTTGTGGCCAGCATGTTGTTGTGGGTGCAGAGTGGGGAAGAATAAGGGCTATTAGGGATACGATGGGGAAATTAACAGAGGGGGCTAGACCTGCAATGCCTGTTGAAATTGAAGGGCTGAGGGGACTTCCAATGGCTGGTGATGATATCATTGTCGTGGAATCTGAGGAGAGAGCTAGGATGCTTAGTGCTGGAAGGAAAAAGAAATTTGAGAAAGATAGGCTCACGAAGATGGATGAGGAGAAGACAGAGGAAACTCCAGATCCATCAGAAGAGGTGCCGAAGAGGGTTGAAATGCCAATTATAGTGAAAGCCGATGTGCAAGGCACTGTCCAAGCAGTCACAGATGCATTGAAGAGCTTAAATAGTCCTCAGGTATGCCAAATTATTATCATATCAAAGTACCTCATTGGATTCCGTTATGTTGTTGACAATGAATCTTGTTATGGCTGGTAATTATCATTGGGCATTGTTGCTATTGGCATGGTTGTTAGAATCTTACAAGTCATGATTTGATACGAGTTCCAACCAAACCGATTCAATTCATGTCATTGAATCTTAAATTGAGTGAATCGTATGATTCAATTGAGGTTCACTATGATTCACTGCGATTCAATTTATTTGCACAATGCATGAAACAGTGTCATTTTTGCAACAACAACAACAAAAAAAGAAAAAAGAAGGGCAAATTACACCAATAAGCCCTGCAGTTTTTTTTTCTTATGGCAGTTTAGTCCCTGTCCTTTTAATTGTGACACATTTGTGTACTTTTGATTGTAACACATTTGCCCGTAGATTTTTTCATGTGTGTCAAATAAGGACAACTAACATCCATCCAAATTTTAAACAAAATTTGGTCGTGTGTGGTGCATATGACACTCTTCTCAGGGCAATATGGCCATTTTGCTCTTTTCTCTAATCCAACTCAATAAGTTTACTCATTGAGTTGACCCATTTTTCAATCAATTTATTATCACCACCCCATCCTGCCAAACTAACACAACTTAATGGTCACCACCATTCACCACTGATTGTTATCCCACCAGCCCCATCCTTGTCTCACCCTGTTCCTCTACCGATCTGCCTAAGTTGTGGCATCTGCCATGGGAAGGGTAAGGAAAGAAAACACTAGACCCACAAATTGATCTGCCACCACCCCAACTGCATCCCACATATTAACTAATGGATATATATAGATGTATATAATGTGTATATATAATGGGCCTTTATGGTACATTTTCATTTGTTGGGTATATAATGGCTATATACAACATTGGGTCTTTGTGGTCTATATCATGGGCATTTTATTGCAAAGTTGTCATTTGCTGGTATGCTTTCAATGTGGAACACGATCAGGACCCCATTAATGGTGACGGGCTTGATTTGCAAAGACTAACAAACTTGTTGGTATGTTTTTGCCTGGTTTAATTTGTGAGAGATGGAGGTAGAGGTCCTGATTTGTAGGAGAGAGATGGAAGAGGTGGTAAGCTTCAGAAGGAGAAGATGAGAGAGATTGAGAGGGAGGAGGGGTGAGGTAGCTGGCTATGTGAAGGAGAGAAGAGAGACGAGGAAGGATTAGGTGTGGTCAAATGTATGGGTAAATTACAATGAGTGATTGTGATTTGTTGATGGTGAGAGGTTATGTTGATTGTCTTACTCTTAAAGGGGTGTCATGTGAACTGCTGATGACCAAATTCTGTCTAAAATTTGGATGGCTGTTAACAATTGTCCTAATTTGACACATGGAAAAATCCAAGGACAAATGTGTTGCAATTAAGAGGATAGGGACTAAACTGACACAAGGAGAACAATTCAAGGAATATTGGGACCCAAAAAAAAGGAGAGAGAGAGAAGAAAAGATAAGAGATCAGTTAACTATGTTAATGTGTTTTACATGTATACACATGAATACATTGTTGGCATGTTTGATTGGAAGGATTAAAGCATAGGATTGGGATTATTAATCCGTGGGCCCAATCATCCTATGTTTGTTTTGACATTTTAGTTTAGGATTATTAATCCAATGGATAATTAATCCAACAAATTTGTAGGATTATTAGTAATGGGGTAGGGGTGGGATAACTAATACCACACTAATTTAATAGGATTATTAATACCTCACTATTAGTGTTGTGAATCAAACATGGCCTGTGTGTATTTTTATCTGTATATACATATATAAAAAAAAATGCTTGGGACTCCCAAAGTTGGGGACTTTCATGACCCCCAAAATGATGTGAACCAATCATGTATTTTTGTTTTTTTTTTCCTTTCATTCCTGGACCAATCACAGGTGAGTGGGGGTTGTGTTTTTTGGAGGTCTGTAGTCGTCTTGTTATACACAGTTTCTAGTGTATGATTCTTTGAGAAAAATGTCCAATTTCCATTATGCTGCTATCAATCAATATCTTTTACGATTTTGTTCCAGGTTTTTGTAAATGTTGTCCACGTTGGTGTTGGGCCTATATCTCAGTCTGATTTGGACTTGGCACAAGCCTGTGGTGCATGTATTGTTGGATTCAATGTGCGCAATCCACCGAGTTCAGTCACTCAGGCTGCAACTCGCGCCAATATAAAGGTACCTATGATTGCTGCCCAATCTTGATCTTCTTGCAAGTATTTTAATACATTACTTTTTAAAGCATTTGAGGATCATCGTACTATTTCAAGCTTTCTGGTGTCAACTGTTGAAATTAAATGGTGTAAAAACCAAAAAATGAAAATAAGGGTATCATTTGCATTTTTTATGATTTGTTTTTGTGTGTGTGTGTGTGTGTGTGTGTTTTTGGGAATGAAAGCATTGAAACATTTGAAAATACTAATCATTTTTATTTTGTGTGAAAATGTTTTCAAAATTCAAAGAACAACTTAATAGTATTTCTTAAAAACGTTTTGCTTGAGTTTTTTGAATTTGTTTTCCAAAAAATTTCAAAAACTAGTTTGTTTAAAAAAAAACGAAAAAGAAAAAGAATAATAATTTTATATGGTTTTCTCTTCTTTTTTTGGGGGGGGGGGATTTCGGAAATTCAAAATATATTTTTTGTTGTTTATTTTTGTAAAATTACTTTCTAATTTTTCCGAAGAATAAAAAATAAAAATTCAGAAAACAAATACTAAACACTTTTTTGGGTAATTATGTTCTAAAATCTCAACCGAACATAGTCTGTGTTTTCAAAAAATTTACTTGTAAACAGTTCGTCAAACATGTTTTTCGCATCATTTTTCATTTTTTTGTTGTCGAGAACCAAAAAGACAGAAAATAAAAACAGTATGAAACATGCCCAAATTGATTTTATTTACTGTTTATCTGGGTTTCTGTAGATAAAACTGCATCGTGTGATCTATCACCTGTTGGAGGACATTGGAAGTTTTATTGTGGAGAAGGCCCCTGGAACTTTTGAGACCCAGGTAGCAGGAGAAGCCCAGGTGCTGAACATCTTTGAGATCAAAGGAAGGAGCAAAGCCAAGGGAGACGATGTGAAGATCGCTGGATGCCGCGTGATGGATGGGCGTTTCACCAAATCGTCTACCATGAGGCTTCTAAGGAGTGGGGAAGTTGTGTTTGAAGGGTCTTGTGCATCCCTGAAGAGGGAGAAACAGGATGTTGAGACAGTCGGGAAAGGTAACGAGTGCGGACTCGTGATTCGTGATTGTTTCGATTTTCAGATCGGAGATGTTATCCAGTGCTTGGAGCAAGTCAACCGGAAACCTAAGTTCATTTCATCAGAGAGCGGGGCCGTTCGAATTGAATGCTGACAATGCTTTTCAAGAGTAATGTTAACACAGAATTCATGTACTTTCTTGTAACATTTTGATATCTGCAGGACCAGTTCATTTTTTGTAGGGTTGAGCAGAGCCCTCATGGCCCTGCCGGTGGTGTCCAATGCTTGGAACTGCAAGAGGCTTTTATTTATTTATTAGTGATTTGCAATTTTGAGAGAGCGATTGTTTCATTTGGTGTTTTGACAGTTTCTGTTTAACTGAGGAACTAACATACTAATACTGCTCATATTTCAATCCCGTACAAGAAACTGTATATGATTTGCTTACTTTGTGGGTGTTTGGGAAGTGGATTTTTATGTAGGTTTTTTTAGTTGTAGGACATTATTGGAGAAAAAATTTTTAGTGTTTGGGAAGATAGTTGGGTTTTTTTGTGGTTGGATGTAATGTTTGTGAGAGAAAAAGTGAAATGATTATGAGATTGGATGTGATATTTTGTTTGGATTTTTTTTTTTTTTAGTTTTGCAAAAATTTTGTCTTTTAGTGGAAAAAATAAAAAAAAAAAACCTAGGAGAAAAACTTGCCAAACACCGAGTTTTTGGTTATCATTTTTTTTGTTTTTTTTTTTTTTTTTTTTTTTTGGGCTTAAGGTTATTATCATTGTAGTAGTCAGTATTTTTTTCTTTTCTAGATGGTTTGTTTGGACAGCAAGAAAATGATTTGGCATTGTACTTTGCTTTTAACCTAATTTTATTTAGTTTAGTGGCCAGCATAAAGTCTGTTTTTCACTTATGGGCTAGGTATCCTTGTGAACATGAATTAGAACTAATAAAAATTGCCATAAGTTGTGGACTTGTGGTTTTATGTGTAGAAATTAGGGATGACAATATGAACCTGGCCCAACGAGCATCTGGACTGTTCTGCCTTGTTAGGATTTTCCCTAAAAATTATTCTTTATAGGGCTGGGGTTGGTATTGAAAGATACATCCCTGACTGTTTTTGAGTCGGAAACAGTGATGGGTTCCCCTGGTCTTAGCCTGTCTCAAAACTTTCCCAGACTATCCCTACTTATATACATATGTGTTTAGCATTGTATTATATATATATCTTTCTTCTCTCTCTCACTCTCTCATTCTACCACTATCACTCTTTCATTCTACCACCATCACTCTCTCTCTCGTTCTCATCTTTCCTCTTCGGCCATTGATTGCATACCACAGTCACCAACACCACCACCACCATCGCTGGTCCAGACTCCGATCTACAGATGACAACATCAACTCAGATGGACAAAAATCGCGGATCATTCCTCGAAGAAGTTGAGGTAGTGAAAATAGAGATGGGTTCAATACGAGACATCTTGGGTCAACTACACGAATCCAATGAAGCTCTCAAGTCTTTCCATCGTCGATTTCATTTTCTCAGTCCATAATTCCAGTTCTGATCAATCAGATCATCACAAAAACCCTATTTTTCTCTAATAAGGTATTCTCTCTCTCTCTCTCTCTCACATATAATGTACTACATGTGTGTATTACTGTGTTCTCATCTCCATTTGTTTGTTCTTGATGAATGGTAGTTGTTTGAATCTGTTCTGTTGATGAGGATGATAAGCAGATCTGTTGATAATGTCGGGAAATTTTCGAGGTCAGGGAAACCCGATCCTTGTTAGGGGGCGGGGGCAGGGGCATGGACGGGGATGGCGATAGGTTCTCCATTGGGGATCGGGACCGGGGATGGAAAAATTTTCACCATCGGGGATTAGGGACGGGAAGTGTGAACTTCAGCCCCACCCTGGTCCGTTGCCATCCTTAGTAGAAATGAGAGGGGATATAGATAGAACTATAATGATTTTTGGATTTAACTTCTTAGTTAAAAGGGGAAAGATTATGATATAGACCTCTCAAAGAGTGTGTATCATATACAATTTATAACTATAGAAAAAAAAATAGTATAATTTCATATTTTTTTAGTCATAACTAAAAAAGAAAGGTCATAATCGAAGGGTTGTTTTGTATGATTTAAATAAATGTATTTTTTTATTTTTTATGAAAAGATGTGTAAAAAAGTATAAATATGATGTAACTTAAAAAAGATAAAAAGATAAAAAAAAATGTACTAATATAAGGGATGTCAAACAATTCCAAATATAAAAAAAAAAAAAGTGTGAATTACACTAATGATCCTTATAGTTTGATGTTTGTGTCATTTTGGTCATTGACTTTTCAATTGTGACACATTTTACCCTGAATTTTGAATCTTATTTCAAATAAGGACAATTGTATTTACTAATGGATTTTTCAAGGGCAAAATTATCAATTTGATAAAATATAATTTAATTTGACAAAAATAAATGTCAAAAAATTATTTTTGAATTTTTAAAAATTATTTCTAGCTACTAAAGATAAAATTATATAAAATTGATAAATCTTTTAGATATTTATTTATTTTGTTTACCAAATTAATTTTTATTATGTATTTAGATGATGATCATGTAAAATTAATTTTAAAAAATTAATCATGTAATTTTTATTAATTTTTATCAATTTTATATAATTTTATTTTTGGTGGGTAGAAATAATTTTTAAAATATTTTAAAATATTTTTTTGACATTTATTTTTGTCAAATCAGTTTATATTTTATCAAATTGACGATTTTGCCCTTGAAATTAAGCAATGGTATGTTCAATTGTTTTTATTTGGAACAACATTCAAAATTCAAGGACAAATATATCACAATTGAAAAGTCATGGACTAAAGTGATACGAACTCCAAACTATAAGGACTATTAGTGTAATTTACCTTAAAAAAAATTATAACTAAATATCTAAAAATAATATCGTAACTAAAGAATAAAATAATATAACTAAAAATACATATAGTATGAGGATATGCACAATAGAATTTTCTTGAAAGACGTATATCTTAGACGTACAAGTTGGGAAAAAAAAAAAGCCAAAACATAAATATCAATATATATATATATATATTAAATTTCATGGATCATTCTCGAGTTGGGCCTATACAATGAAATTGGGCTTAAACTCAACTCATTTGCTTTCTTCGTCATCTGGTTTTTCGAACTGACTCTTTCTCTCTCTTCATTAAGCGCTCTCTCTCTCTCTCTCTCCTTAGTTCAATCCTTCGCAACCAGAGAGGTGAGTTCCGATTTTCTTCCCCTCTAGAACTGATTTATTTCGTTTATTCACAAATTGCTTTCAAATTAGGGTTTTATAAGTACGGATGCTTTGAACAGATCGGTTAGGTTCTGGCGATTTGCGCATGTTTTGTAGCTGAGAAAAGGTTTTTTCGACAGACAAACACAAAAAAAGGGTGTTTGTACTTGGTTATGGTTTGGTTTTGCTGCTTCTCTTTGTCCTAGAGTTGTTGAGTTCCGTCGTCGTAGACTCTGGTGCGTATTAAATCGGTTCCCTATCTTGCAATCTATATCTATATAATGAAAATCATATAAGGCCTCTCTGATTTTAAAATCCCTAATTCAAAAATCTCTCATCTTTATTGTCGAAGTCCCAATTTAATTTACGTTCCTTTTGTAAATTTTTCTTTTATATCAACTTTATAAGTTAACGAAATTCATGTGATTAGAGAACGCCAATGCTGGGATCATTATGTATTTTAGTTATGTTAATGATGCATATTACTTTGGAATGTAGTGGTTTTCCCCTTTTCAATTCTACTAATATCACTTTATTTGGACAGAAATTTGTTAACATGGTTGGGTTAGGTTACTGGGGCACTCAATCTGTCACACTTCTATGAGTGTAGATTTTTAACGGGTTATTAACCTTTTTTTTTTTCAAACAAAAAAAAAAAAGATTTTGGGGGTGATTGTAGGGGACAACAATGGTGAATGACAAAGGAAAGGATACTGTTTCTAGCTCCAATTTAAGTCTCAAACATGATGATGCAGCCGATAATTCTCAAAGTGAGACAACTGTGTCCAGCCCAATGAAGTTGAATGTTAAAGAAACTGGGGTTGTTTCTGAGAGTGAAGATAAGGAGGAAAATACAGGCAAAGGAGTAATGAATGAAGAAACTGCAATGGTAGTTATGAAGAATGGAGAAATTGCGATAGAAGAAGAGCGGAATGAAGAAACTGCAATGGAGGAAGAAGAAAAACATGAAGACAATGTTATGGAAGAAGATGAAAAGAATGAACCAAATGCATTAGAAGAAGAAGACGATTATGAAGAAGAAAATGCAACCGAAGAAGAAGACGAAGCAGGAGAAGAAGAGGAGAAGGAGGAGGAAAAAGAAGAAGAAAATGAGGAAAAAGCTATTGAACCAGCAAAGACTGAAGAGAAAATAGGAGCAGATTCTAAGGACAAAGAAAAAAGATCAAGAAAACGGGGCAGAAAGAAGCAGGTGGCACCAAGGGGTTCTGAGAAAGTGGCCGCTAAATTGGAAGATAAGCCTGGATCATCGAGCCAGAAAAAGGTGTCAAAAAGGGTTGAGAGCATGGGGATGATTTTCATGTGCAGTTCAAAGACAAAACAGGATTGTTACAGCTACAAGGTTCTTGGGCTACCTGCAACCAAGAGAGATGTTGTAAAAAAAGTTTACAAAGGGATGAGGCTCTTTTTGTTTGATTTTGATCTGAGACTGATGTATGGGATCTACAAAGCTGCAGGACCTGGGGGTTATAATATCGAACCCAAGGCTTTCAAGTCGGCGTTTCCATCTCAGGTTAGTATTTACTTCTATATTTTGTTTTAATCTTAGTGAATATTTTAATGCAAAACTAATATGGGAAAGAAGTTTGCATGTATGCTTAGGATGTGTGGGCGTGAGGGAATTTTTATTGGAACAAATGTATGTGTTAGCAGCAATAAAATTTGTACTGACAGTTGTAAAAACCAAATTGTCTTGTAAATTGTTTGGAGAAATTTTTTGATATGAAACAGAATCGATATCCTATAGCATCTTACAGTTTCTGCTTATATTAGGAAAGCATTACACAAGTTTTTAAAAGAATCTATTATTTCTGGACAAATAACCGTTGTTTGGTTGGTTTGTTTGTACTATAGTTATAAAAGCATATCTCCACGCGGTTAGAGATGGTTGGGCAATTTCTATGCATTAAAATAGGTGAAGGGGTAGATGGAAGTCTGACCACTTGTTAGAAATTAAGGATGTTCCTTGGGTTGCCCTTGTTCAAAAAATTGAGGACCTTGGTGGTTGAGCAGGGAGCTCAATGGTGAGGGCTGGCCAAAGTATTTGGCAAGGCAGAGTGTATGCAATGGCCTTTGAAGCTATTTCAAACCAGGATTGATGGAGGTTCAGAGGGGTTTGGTGGAGGTTGAGGAGGGGGTGGTCAGGTATTGTGGAGTTTCCAGAGAGAGGTTTGGTGGGTAGATTTGGCATTTAGACTGATGAAATCTTCTCAGCTGTTGAAATGCAAAGATTGGCTAGTCAGATGTGGGGGGTTGTACATGTTTTTGATATGAACATGGCTCTTTTTCTCTTTCTTCTACCCTTGGAAAGGGTGAAAAGGGTTTTGAACGATTGAGGATGGTGTTTCAAAAGGAAGTCAGTCAACGTTGACTTGTGGTCACCAATGTTTTGCGGAAGGCTTTTGCCTGATTTTGGCTATGACAAGAGTGAGCTCGGTTTCACCAGAGCTGATTATGGCCATGCTGAAGGCTGATGAGTACTGTCAAGTCAGGGAAATCATCACCACAATCTACACATTGCAAACTGTCCTATATCTAGAAATTAAAAAGAATGGAATTTCTTTAAATGGAGAGGAAACATTAGCCCAAAAAGATGGCAAGTATCAAATTCTGTCCTATAACATCGTGATGTCTTCAAACTTATCTTCGAAAATTCTAGCATTCCATTCCAACCAAACCACTTAGAAAAGTAAAAAGATTACACAACTACTAATTCACCTTATTGTTGCGATTGAAACCCCAAAAATCAATCAAAAGTATTTGAGCACAAGTAGCTAGAACCACCCAGCAAATGCCCTGTTTGGTGGAGATTGTTGGAAGTTAAAAGCTGATAAGCATAAAACAAAAGCTAAAAGCACCTCTCCCTTAGCTTTCAGATAATTAACTTTTTTTTTGTCAATTTATTTATGCTATTTCTACCTATTAAGCTATAAATAGAAGTTGCATCAAATAGTCTGGTACAAATTGCCAAATTAAAATAAGCTATAATCATCTCTTTTTAAGTTGTAACAAACACCCCCAGACATTTCTCAACCGAAAAAGGCAATGCCACAAGACCAAGACCAAGACCAAGACCAAAGCACAATGCAAGAATACATGGTCCAAAGATTCCTCATTTCTCTTACACATGCTACACCATTGAGGACAAAGATTGCAATTAGGTCGCCTTTTTTTGAAAAATATCATTAATCATGATACTCATGAGCTTAGTTCACGTGAAAATCTTAACTTTACGAGGCACAATTGCTTTCCAAATTCTTTTTAAATTGAAAGACGGAAAAATCAATGGGATTATCAATGTTTTTGTCAAAAAGGAACTACTTGCATGAAAAGTTCTCCAGAAAAATGAAGAGACCACACTCGCTTATCACCGGCATTTTGTCTCAAGGCAAAGTCATCAAGCAAGGCCAACAAAGACATCAACTCAAGGCTCTCCCGATCGTTGGGATTCCTAGAGAAATAGAAATCCCAAGAGATCAAAGTCAAATAGGAATGAGCCATAGACTCAATGGAAACATAATGTGCCTGAGCCTTTGTAGCAGGAAAATTGGGTGACGTTTCTTACTTAGAAATGCAATTATGCACTCTCAAGTAAGAAATTTGCTTCTATTGAGGCAGAAACTCGCTACCAACTAAGATAGAACCTTTTAGACCTACAAATCTCAAATAAACAAAAAATAAATAAATAAAATAAAATAAAATAAAATTCAAACTTATTCTAGGATATTCTATTTAAATAAAATTTATTTTTACTTAACAATGACAATTTGTAGTTGACATCAATCTCTAATAATAATTCATATTTTAACACATATTACAACTAATTGTTAGAATATATTTATATATAAAATATATGCATGCTCCCATAAACACTCTCAACCTTAGAAAATTCTACATGCCCTTGCTCCGCTGCCCCGGCCCTTGCTCCCACCCCCACCTCCTCCCCCTCTTAGTGCAACTAAGACTCAAGCCAACCGATACAAATGCAGAAACAACACATTGAAAGAAGAGTTGCCCACCCAAATACCTTCCAAAAGACAAACGCATTCACCATTACCCGCGCTCAATGAAAGAAATCTAGAAAAAAAAAGAAAGACATTAGATATAGATTTATATGGATATTGACAATTGCCCCTATTAATTATAGAAGGATCCTTACTGTTCGCTTGAACCGCGCATTTACTTTTAAAAATGGAATGCCATAAAGAATTACATTTGAAGGGTAATCCCCATAGCCATTATTAGCCTAACAGAGCGATATTCCTTGCCGTGTTCGTTTTTCTTGTACTTAAGCAAATCACCTTAAGTGATTCTCTTATTTTGTCTCTTAACCGGTCATGTTTCTCAACCTTTCACCACATGTTTCTATTCCAATTACAACCCTTTGCTTGATGCCCATCCATCACAATTTGCATTTATATTTGTACTTAATTTGTTTATGTTGTCCTGACACTTCCTCACAATGCATGGTTAGTCAAAGAAATCATATTTTAAATTTATCCAGCAACTAGGTTGGATTACATTGACCAGACAACACTTCACACAACATTTCAATGAGCTTTTCTTTACTCCATCCATTCTATTCTAAGTTATAGGTGATATTCTGTTTAGTCTCTCTTTCCTAGTGGAAGATTGGGCTTTGTTCAGAATGCCATAGCTTATTAGATGCCAAGTTGAATTATTTTCTCATTTATTTCTACTTGTACTGTTACGAAAATTACATTCTCTAAAAACTTAGTGTTTATCCTTAATTTAGTTATCATGTAGTTAATAAATAACTATATTCGCAAAACATCTTCCTATTAATATGAAACTTGTTCATCGGTTGCCAAAAAATGAAAAAATCACGGTTCCCAAAAAAAGAAAAAAAAAAAAAAAAAAAAAAAAAACTCATTCTAACTTCTGATGTAAGCCTATTAGAGATGCGGTTAAACCATCTGCTATTGGAGCTGCTAAAATATGGCATTGCTATACCTTGTGCCAAATTGGGCACAATGTTTACCAGATTGCCAAAGCTGCCAACTCATCACAACCAACTGTTGTCAACTCTTCCCCTTCCATTCATGACCTTCCCAATAAAAACACCAACAAACACATACAAAAGCCAAATAAACGCATACACCAAAAATCGTTATTCTTAGATATATATATATATATATATATAATGCATATATAAAAGACTTGGGTGTCATATATACATAATAGAGCAAATATATATATATGTATAATGCATACATACATACATACATACATACAGAGGGTTAAGTTTGACGATAGTGGTGTGGTTGCTAAGGCATGGGTCTCCTCACACTGATAATACTAAAAATATTTTATCACTTCACGAGGGTTAAGTCCCAGTTGCATCTCTTTCATGCCACCAGAAACAGCGGCAAAGTGACCACCTTGCCTCCTAAACTATCTTTCATCAATGGTCTCTTGGGTAGATGGACAATTTGATGCTTCTCTAACCCCTCCATCCTTTCTCTTGACCGACCCTTCCTTGAGAAGAAGCAAGAACTTTGTACGTCCTTTTCCCACTTCTTGGGAAATGGGTGAGATTCGTAAAGGAGAGGGAGATTGGGGAAGGGTGAGACTAGGGGAGAAGACTCTAGAGGGAGTGGGAGATGACTAGATTTGTGGAAGGAGCAAGGGACACTGGAGGGGGGTGGAGATCTCTCTCTCATGTTCTCTCCCTCAGTTGTTGGGATGAAAGTTGGTTGGTGGTTGGAAGAATAAGAAGTGAGTTGGTGATTGGAAAGAGTTAAATGGCAATGGCGCATTGGAGCAGTAGGAATGTCAAAATTTGACAATAGCATGCCATTTTAGCTATTTTGCATTGGAGATGCACTTATGAGTCGGATTAAATATTTTTTTTTGATTGACACCGGAGTGTCCGGATCAAAGCCCGACTAATTTCCAAGGGTGCACATGCCATTGGCAAGGAGTTCTCCGCAAGTGTATCACAGTTAATTCAAGGATTTTTACCCTATCTGATGGCCTCAAAGAATTGTTAGCACTTAAGAAGTTTCGATTCCTAAACCTTTGAGGGAGTATACCCCCAAGACCCAAGGCTTTGCCATTAGTCCAACCCCTTAGGGTTTATGAATCGGAATTAATTTATCCATGTTTAGCAAGGATAGATTAGAGCATCTCCAATGGTGAATCAAATATTTCACCAAAAAATTTGAAGAATTTCTCTATTTGATATTCAACGTTCTGACGGTACAGCAAAATTTCGGTCGACCGGCAAGGCAATCTGAAAAAAAAAAAATCCAACACAAATCTTGAACAGAGGAGGAGGTGAAATGAGAGAGAAACAGAAGCTGAGGTGGTTGTGAGAATGACCCAGCAGCCGCCATCCTCCATATCAGTCAAATAATTCAACTCCAAAATATCTAAACTGCATACACCAATCACAAAAAAAAAATAATTAATAATAATAATAACGATCCAGCAATCAAAATCTAATCGAACAAGACAAATTTTAAACTTTCGGAAGACGAATTTTTGAGAAATGGAAGGTTTAGCCGAATCGTAGAGTGGAAAGTGTAATTTCGATGCGATTTGCGAGGGACGAAACACACTGAATGGATCGTAAACTGCAAGAAAGGATTAGATCGATCGAGTAATGGGAGATTGGAGGATGAGCATCAAATCTTTTATCTATGCGAATCTCAACATCATGAGTGAGAGAGGGATATGATAGAAGAGAGAGAAGCAGAGGAGCAGATATGAATGGTTGGGTTGTGTGGAGTGAGAGAGGGATTAGATCGTCTTCTTTTGTTCTTCCTCATCTTCATCTCCTTCCTTCAGATCTGGTATCATTTTTGTGGAAATTATTGAAGTAACCGGATGATCGGGGGGTCTGGCCGGTCGTCCGGTGTGTCAGCTCACAACGGTCCTGCACAATAAATTGGTGAAAGTTACCCAGATGTTCAGTTTGGTGAAACCCTTGCTATTTTCTTAATTTGATATCGTTTTGGTTAAACCATTGGAGCACAAAAAGTCTCTCTTCTTCACCAAATTTGAATTTGATGATACATCTGATAAACCATTGGAGATGGTCTTAGTTTTCAATGTTCATGTAGATTCTTCTCTCAAAGTCAAAGAAAGTATTTTGATATTTAAAACCCAATTTCATAGAAAATGAGAGATGACTGCTTTATATTTGGCAATTTGATTACAGTTGAAAAGTTTTTGATTTTAATTTTTTTTATTCCTCGTAGGTTCGTTTCACCGTTTTGGACGATTGCCTGCCTTTAGCAGAGGAGAAGTTCAGAAAGGTCATCAAAGATAACTACTATTCGAAAACCAAGTTTGATTGCCAACTGAACTCAGAACAGGTCTGATTTGTTGCTATTTTCTTGATGTTCTCAGAAATAATAACATCAGAGTATGTGGGCTGGTGTACATTCATAGGTAGATCATGATAAACAATAACATTATATATTTTCTCCATTAGGTGAAGAACTTGTGTAAGCTTTTCGTTGCTGCCAGCAGAGGATCCAACTCGAAGAAGTCAGGCAAACATCTTAGATCAGAAACCCGTTCATTTGTAGACCGAGACAGAATCAGACGGCGCAGTAGGGATGAAGAGAGGCGTGCAGACCGAGACAGAATCAGACGGCGCAGTAGGGATGAAGAGAAGCGTGCAGACCGAGACAGAATCAGGCGGCGGAGTTGGGATGAAGAGAGGCTCTCGGATCGTAGGTACCTTGACCATCCGATTGTGTATGAAAGAGAGACATACGCACCTACGCTAGCACCCCTGCCCCGACTTCAACCTTTACATGCACCACCACCAAGACCAACATATGATTCTTATGGGCGGGCCCTGGAAATGGACGTTTACAGACGGGAACCATTCGTCGTGATCATCGATATTTGGATTTGGATTTGGATGTACAGTATCAGGATGAGATTGAAAGCCGTGATCCCTATATCGCATATAGGGAACCTCCTCCATATCGTGATCCTGATCCTTTGTATTCTGCTGCGGGTCTACCACCGGAGTACAATCCTCCTGGACTGCGGGCAGAGTACCGTTATCCTGTGGCACCGCCGCCATCTGACTATGGTCCTCCTCGACTCTTATATCGATATTAGATGGAAAACCAAAAACTTATATTTCTGGGAAGTTTCTCTGGATTTCAGTTCTCCTTAGTGAGCTTTTTATGTTGATGTTTTGGGTAAGTACTGATTTGGTATTAGTTTCAAATTGACCTTTCAGACTTTAAACCAGTTAATTGCTTTGTTATCTTCTTATTTATAAAAAAAAAAAAAAAAAAAAAAAAATTTGCGTTGTTATCTTCTTATATGCACCTCCTTATATAGTTTGATTTATTAAAGTTTTAAAATGTTATAATTTTTAATTTGGTTGTCCGTTTTGGAAAAAAAAGAAAGAGGTATTTTGGAATATTTTTGTCCAGATCTACTAAACTAGACATATGTTAAAAAGATGAAATTTCACTATGCTGAGTGCTTTGGATATTGAATTTCAACAAGAGAAATTCCAAATTGAGTGTTAAAAATTTACAAAATAAGACAATAGGAAAAATAGGATAATTCAACTTTTTTATTTTTTTATTGGCAACTTTTTGATTTTGAGAGTGAAAAATCTCAAATTGTGGATTACAAAATGACTAAATTTGATCACTGTATTTGGACAGTAAAAATTTACTTGAGTTTGAGTGCCGTTTAACTTTTTTTTTTAATTTGCACTCACAAAAACAGCCATATGTTACAACTCCAAATGGGAGTATGGTATTGGGTTCTTTGGTATAATTGGGTTTCTCATGCCCAGCTCCAGCATTCTACGGCTCACCCCCAAACCAGTGATTGTATGAGAAGTTTGGGGTATTCGCTAATTCGCTAACACCAAGGATCCTCTAGAGTGTTTTTTTTCTAAAGTTTCCTAGAGTGATGTATTGTGTGATTGAGATTTAATGTTGAAAAATTGATGTGACTTGTCATTAAATCTCAACCACACAATACACCACTCTAGAAAACCTTAGGAAAAAAAAACTCTAGAGAATCCTTACTCAAACTTCAAAACTAACGTATGCAAATTATTATTATTTTTTTAACAACAGACATTTTATTTCAAATGATACTTTTTAGTCTCAGGTTAAAATAGTCAAAAAAATTAAAAAATTAAAAAGTCAACACACATCCGAAACGAACTCATAATGATGTGGTCTTTCATGGTCTTTTTATTTCAAATCAAAACACTTACCGTCATGTTTATAATTTTTAAAATGTTACTGTCACAGTAATGTGGATGAGTTTTTTTGTATAAAAAAATCTTTTACGCCTGTGTTTGATTGAGGAATTTGGAAAGGGATTTGGAAAATGAAAGGGAAAATGTGTGAAATTATATAAAATATAGATATATTCTATTCATATTTTACCTACATTTTCTCTTTCCCCTTTCAAATCTTTTCTCAAATCTCCCAACCAAACATAGTATTAGTAAATTATTTCCCATTTTTAGGGTCTAAAAATCTACGGGAACAAACAAACAATGAACAACATTTCTTGTTGCGGCTTGTGTTGTTTCAATTATGAGGGAAGACAAACTATTCAGAATTGTTCTTGTAATTTGAAAATTTCCAATATCACATCATTATTCGAGTAACAATTGTTCTATAAGAGTTACTATTGTCTTCTTCTTCTTTTTTTCAAATTTCAACAAAATGATTACGTTATGTTTGTGAAGAATCACATCATTTTTTTAGTAACAATTTTTGTATAAGCGTTACTATTTTTTTCTTCTTCTTCTTTCAAATTTCATAACTAAGTGTGGAAACAAAATGATTAAGGTATAGTTTTGTCTGTCATCTTCACCTAGGTATGGTCATGAAGAATTGAATATTGATCCATAGTTCTTTGCTATTTCACAATAAAGGGCCCCCATCCAAACAAAGCATAATAGATGGTGGATTGGACCAGGGTGACATTTCTATGCATGTGGTGGGGCTGAGTCCAATTATTTCCATAAATTAATTTCACTACATCAATCTTGCCTTCAAGATCTCACAAGAAAAAAAAAAGAAGGTAAAAAAGAAAAGAAAATCCCCCCTAATCATTTTACTTTTTGGGTCCAAGATTTGGACCTTTTGGGTATTAAATTGAGAGGGTGAAGTTGGTTGGTAGTTGGTCCTCAACTAGTTTTGAGTAGCCATATGTGGTAGTGATTTTGGGGCATATTGTAACGGAAGTGTCCTCAAGTACTTTAGTCTTCAAAACAAAAGAAGAGAGAAAGAGAAAAGGGGGGGAAAATTTGGGCCTACCTCCACTTCTCATTTGGACGGGAGGATGTTATTCGGCTCGCAGTGTTTATTATTGGTCCCATTTTGATATTTTAAAATGTTCATTTTATAATACTCTCCATGTATATTATCCATAAAAAATATTAGGTCATCTTCACCTAGGTATGGTCATGAAGAATTGAATATTGATCCATAGTTCTTTGCTATTTCACAATAAAGGGCCCCATCCAAACAAAGCATAATAGATGGTGGATTGGACCAGGGTGACATTTCTATGCATGTGGTGGGGCTGAGTCCAATTATTTCCATAAATTAATTTCACTACATCAATCTTGCCTTCAAGATCTCACAAGAAAAAAAAAAGAAGGTAAAAAAGAAAAGAAAATCCCCCCTAATCATTTTACTTTTTGGGTCCAAGATTTGGACCTTTTGGGTATTAAATTGAAAGGGTGAAGTTGGTTGGTAGTTGGTCCTCAACTAGTTTTGAGTAGCCATATGTGGTAGTGATTTTGGGGCATATTGTAACGGAAGTGTCCTCAAGTACTTTAGTCTTCAAAAGAAAAGAAGAGAGAAAGAGAAAAGGGGGGGAAAATTTGGGCTTACCTCCACTTCTCATTTGGACTGGAGGATGTTGTTCGGCTCGCAGTGTTTATTATTGGTCCCATTTTGATATTTTAAAATGTTCATTTTATAATACTCTCCACGTATATCGTCCATAAAAAATATTAGGTTGATTCGAAAATTATAACTTATTCATGTTAATACTCTCCCTGTATATTGTCCATAAAAAATATTAGGTTGATTCGAAAATTATAACTTAATCATGTTACTACACTTGCCTAAAAAAATAGATAATCTATTTTTAAAAAGCACACTTGTTTATTTTTTTTGAAGACAAACGTAATAAATTAACAAGTTATAATTATTGGATTAACTTAATTTTTTTCATAGAACATATATAAATAAAGAATTCTACAAAATGAATCATTCGAATGATTGAAACGAAATTCGTAATAGGCTCAATGACAACGACTAGAACAACACTCTCCAATCTAGACATAGACAGGCAAGGCCATCCCAAACAGAAACAGTACCAAGTGAGGACTGATATATAGTAAGAAAATAATTTGGTTCACCATTTTTATTATGTAGTGAACATCACTCATCTTCTTGATCTGTTCTTCCAAAAGAGTAGAAAATTGTTTTCTTAACCAAAAAAATAGTAAATTTTAGGAATTAAGAACTTAGACACGGAAAAATATCTAGAAAAATAATTGTGGCCTAGATTTAGTTTTTTCTATGGTGAGAATCATATTTAAAATGAATTTAAACCACACATTACTTCATTTGACATTTTTATGTGTCTGTATTCTTTAGTTCTTAGTTTTACCAATAGAAGAAACAATGTGAGACGAATTACGTTCGCCCACCATGAAAGTGAGCAAACAAATTCAAACTCCAAATAATCTAAGTAGCACAAATTTGAACACGTTAGCGAGTCAATTTTTTTTAAAAAATGCAAGAAATGACAATTTACGATGAGTTAAAATTTTATATTTTTACAAATTTATTATATTTTATATATTATATATATAAATAAATTTATTAAAAAAAGAATAATAATACGTAACATAACACTAATTACATTAAAAAGTTATATTTTACAAATTAAATATGAAAATATCATTTATGCAACTATTACATAATGAAGAATATAAAATAATTATAGAATACTGTAATAAATATGATGTATTCATCTTATAATTATTTCAAAACATATTTAAAATATTGTTATTAATATATTGTGAAGGGATTCGTCAAATAGAATTTGTTTGAAAGGTTCAAGAAGTGTAACTAAAGTATCGATATATTGTTCGATATTATGAATTTAATTTATTTTTTAAATTTAAAACACGTTAAACAAGTATCAGATACTTTTAAAAATACCTAAAAGTATTAGTATTTGACATGATTGTTTTACGTAACATACTTTTTAATATAGTGATAGCGATAGTGGTGACGGTGGAAGTTGCATGATGAAAGAGAAAATCCAAGACATGATGCCACTTTTGCTTGTTTGAGAAACTTTGGTTAGCTTTTTTTGTTTAAGAGATTGCGTAAAGCTGAAACCATTCTTGCATGTCTATAAAAAATAAATAAATTTAAAAATAAAAATAAAAAAAAAAGAGAAAAAAAAAGAAGGAAAAAAAAGTAGTGTTTGTAGGGTTTCCATTAGAATAGAAATGCATGTTGTTATGCACTTATATGGTCCCTACAACCAACCAGAGGTGTATATATGATCAAAGGAAAGTCAAGGTTTTTAATTATATTGTGCATGCCAACCAAACTACACAATTATAACCCCCAATCATTAATAATTTTTTTAAAATTTGTAATTATTGGGTTTTGATTATGGTTTTGGAGGGAAATTAATCTTACCACACTTTAATTTTTAAAACATGTTTCAAGTACACACAGATACTGAGTAAAGGTTGGTTTGGAATGTTCTAAAAAAGTGCACTTTTTGATTTATTGGCTTATATGAGTTGGGTTTGGATTGGATTTAATGTGATGTGTTAGAGAGGTGATGTAATTTAAATAAGATGATGTGACTTAAATAAGATAGTGACTTTTTAACTTTTTGTATTATTTAAGTTATGCCAAACTTGACCTAAATATTCATATTTTTTTTATGTTATATGTGTTTTTATTTTTATGATAAAATGTTATTCACAAAAGTGACCATAACGCATTCTCAATACACAATTTTAAAGTAACTCTAATGATTAAAGTACTTGGTAAATATTGAGCCACACATGTCAAACTGTTTTATATTTAAAAGATTTTATCTAACTTGTGGTTATTGTGTTTGGAATCACTATTTGCCTAACAGTTTATAAAATTGGAAATATACCATATTAATACAAATTTTTATTTATTTATTCGTCTTATATTATTTTTAAAAATTAATATGATATAAATAAAAATGGGGAATCTACC